TTTTTTTTAAAGCTGGGAAAGAGTCACCCTGAGCTAACATCTGTTGCCAATCTTCTCTTTCTTCTTCTTTCCTCCCCAAAGCCCCAGTACATAGTTATACGTTATAGTTGTAAGTCTTTCTAGTTGTTCTATATGAGCCGCTGCCACAGCATGGCTGCTGACAGACGAGTGGTGAGGTTCAGCACCCGTGAACTGAACCTGGGCTGCCAGAGCAGAGCGCACTGAACTTGAACCACTAAGCCATCAGGGCTGGCTCCTCCTATACCTTTTTTAGTTAAGTCTTCTCCTCTGCACTGGTTCTAAAGCATTACTTACTGGTTTTACACTATGGTTTATGTGAGACATTCCATATGACTTCTCATCTTTTTTTTTTTTTTCATGGCTTTCTTCATTTCCTATAGTTCTGTATCAACTCCTGGATTAGATTTTCTCTGGCAATTCTAACTCATACTGATCTTTTCTCTCTTCATGTCATTTTGCATTTTGTAACCTTTGTTATGACATTATCTATTTAGATATACAATCTTAGTACTCAAAAAGTTGTTTCTTTGGGTACTTTGTCTGAAACTAAGGTACCTGTTTAATGTGATAGTGATACATGCTTGTTATAAAACATTCAAACAATATGTAAGTATATAAATACCAAAAGTGAAAAATATTTATAATACTTCCATTCTCTTAATCTCACAAAATAACCACTGTTAGCCATTTGATATATGTCCTCCCAGACTTTTTTAAAAAAAATCTATCAAGAAAATTTTGTTTTAATGGCCATCTATTATTCCAATATAGTGTAAGTACCTGGATTTTATCCTAAAAAATCCTAACAGTGAAACATATTTGTATTTGATTACATTTCCATTAGTTTTCCCATTTAAAACTTATATCTATTTTTAACACATCTCTACTTAAGTACTGGATCTCTGCATTATTATATTTAATATTCATTTGTTCAATAAATATTTATTGATCAGCAGCAGCCAGTGAGGCTGGAGGAAAACAAGGGGATTGTGATGTCCTGGAAGCCAAGTGTAGAAAGTATTTCAAGGAGATAGTAGTCCGCTATGTCAAGTGCTCTGGGAAATCAAGTAAGATGAGGACAGAGAATTTACCATTGGATTTTTGCAAGATGGAGGTTCATTGATGACCTTGACAAAAGCAGTTGCAGTGGGGTGGTGAAGGGGTAAGCCTGGCTGAAGTGGGATCAAGAGAGACTGGGAGGCAAAAAAGCAGGCACAGTGATTATAGACTCTTTCAAGGAGTTTTGCTATGAAGGGAGCAGAAAAATCAGTCTGAAGGTAGACAGGAGTATAGATGGAGGGGAGGGTGTTTATTGAGATGGCAGATGTTCCAGCATGTTTGCGTGCTCATGGGAATGATCTAGGAGAGAGAAGAAAATTGGTGATCCACAAGAGAAAGGATAATTGCAGGAGGATGACATCTAACACCATTGTGGAGAGAGGTCTGGCTTTAATTAGGAGCAGAGACAATTCATTCACTGAAACAGGAAGAAAGGCAGAGATACAGATTCAATAAGTTAACAGATTTGGTGATAGGAAAAGGAGTTTTTATCAGCTTGCTTCTGTTTTCTCAGTGACATAAAGTTAATAGCTGAGAGCTGAGACGCATTAGAAGTTTGGGGAGAAAGGAGAAAATGTCAGTAGTTGTTTTTTTCCCTCCCTGATGATGGAGAAACAATTATATGGTAAACAGACAATGACAGACCAAGCCAGACTTACATTTTTAAAAACACTTGGTTCAGTTAGAAAAATACCTCACTTGCTAATTTCTAATTGTTGTATCTTTCTCTAATTCTTAGCTACTATCAGTCACCTCTCTGATTTTCCTTGTATTGATGTTGGATCCTTTTTTCAGTTCTCCCTTGAATTCTTTATGTCCAGAACCTTCCCAGAGCTGTGCTGCTTACAATTCCAGTGATTTGGGTCTTTAAGGTAGTTTGTTTTCACAAATCCTTTGAAATGATGTCATAACATCCTCAGCCTTCCTTATTATAATAGTGATACATTTAGTATGATCTTAGTAGATTTTCTAATTTTCTATTTTTGTATTTATTGCAATTTAGTAAATTAGCTCTCTCTGTAAGGTGAGGTGATATGAGAGATTCAAAAGTAAACAAAACAGGCCAGCCCGGTGGCCTATTGGTTAAGTTCGCGCATTGCGCTTTGGTGGTCCAGAGTTTACCTGTTTAGATCCCGGGCGTGGACCTACTCACCACTCATCAAGCCATGCTGAGGCAGCCTCCCACATGGAGGAACTAGCAGGACCTACAATTAGGATATGCAACTATGTACTGGGGCTTTGGGGAGGAAAAAGAAAAAGAGGAAGGTTGACAACAGATGTTAGCTCAGGGCCAACCTTGCAAAAAAAAAAAGTGAACAAGATGGTAGGAGGAGCTAATATGAGGAGTTAATACTCTTAAAGGAAAACATTCAGCTTAGCATGATGGCTCTTAAGATCTGTAGTCTTCCCAGGTAGTTTCAAGCCACCCAACTGACTCCCTGTAATCATTCCATGACTAAGCTGTTGTTTAATTTAAAATTTCATGTTGATGAGAATGTATATTATATAATTAATTTCTTATGAAAGTTGAGTCCATTTATTCCAATACATGCATAAGTAAATTTACCTCTTCATCCTCCTCCTAGGAATTGCATACATGACATAAAGATGTAGATGCGTATGTGTGCACACAAACCTACCTTGTGGTGCTGTTTATGTTGTCTAAAAACATGGAAACAACCTAAATGTCTTTCAATTCAAATTGGTTAAATTATTTATGGTTTAATGATACTGTGGTATACTGTGTATTTAAAATGTTGTAGGTCAATAGTTAAGGGCATGTAAAAATATGTCTGTAACATTACTATTAAGTAAAAAAACCCAGATTCAGTATAATTTTTAAAAATTATATCTAGGTTTGTATATACAAAGAGATCTGGAAGAATGTCCCTGAAATATTAACAGTGATTTTTACTTTCTTTTTTGCACTTTTCTCTGTTGTTTTGCTTTAAAAATGTCATTTTTTTTTTTTTTACAATCAGAAATATAATTTTTCACTTTGAAAGGGGCAAAAGGGTTAAGACAGAAATCAGTCGCTTCCCTACAGTTCTAACTCACAAACTTGGTTTGAGTATTAAACCCAAATCAGTTATTAAAACTTTAAAAAATAAACCAACAAGTCCACATATCTTTCTGCCTGATGTTCCAGACATCATTCTAGTAGCTGTGGACATTAAGATACCATTTAGATTTCCATTTAAAAATCAAGTTCACCAGAACATAAGCTTTTCTAACCTATTTAAAATAAAACCTTTTACATAGAGGCATTAAGTAGTTTCATTACATGCTTAATGCACATGCAACACAGTTAGCATCTTTGGTGTTCACTTGAGAATCCTAATGCAAAAAAATAAATTTTAAACAATTAACTAAAATGTGGGGACACATTTGCAAAGGGTTTTCAACATACTAGTGGGCTATAGCACCCTGTTGGAGAGCTGTTGTACTGTTTTCTCATTTTCTTACTATTTTGTCCTGTTTTAAAATATAAACAACTGATTAGTACTTTTGTCTCCTAAATAGATTATAAGCTACTTATAGTCAAAGTTTGTCTTTTGCATCCTATGACCACATTTTTCAAACCTATTAATGAATCTTGAAATCAATTTAGTGGGTCATAATTGGGATTAAATTATATACGATAATATGCTGCATAATGACATTTCAGTCAAGGATGGACCACATATATGACAGTGGTGCCATAAAGTTAGTACCATGTAGCCCAGGTGTGTAGTAGGCTATACCATCTGGGTTTGTGTAAGTACACTCTGTGATGTTCACACAACGACGAAATCGCCTAATGACACGTTTCTCAGAACGAATCCCTGTATTAAGCAATGCATGACTGTATATACACATATATATGTTATGTGTGTGTGTGGATACATATAAAAGTGCATGGCATGTATTAAGGGCAAATTCTGTTTAGGAAACTTCTTGGTTGCAGCAAAATATTTGGAAAGCCCTGTCCTGAAATACTTAGGGAAGTACATTAAAATCTTAATTAAATAGGTCACCTGTCTAGGAGTGGCATCCTAGAATATAGCCCCCAAATCAGAAATTTAACCCCAAAAAAGTCACTTGAGTTACAAAAGTAAACTTCAGTTAGGATGAACACCTCAGTCTCTACCTCAGAATTCATTTAGTCTTATTTTAGACAGTTATCAAACTTGGCTGTTTCCTTTCCTGATCTACAACAATTAGAGTTAGCACTGAGTGAAGAGACTTCTGAAGACAGACACTGACAGTAATCGGAAAGAATCATCAGCAGTCCGGGAAGGTCAGGGAGACTATAAAAGGACTCCTAAGGTAAGTAGTGTAGGCACTTTATATAGGAGCAAACAGATACAGACACATTAGTTGACCATAAGGGCAGAATTTTGAAGCTGTAAGGAGCAGTGAGAAAAGCTTACCAGGTCAGCAGGGAAGGTGGGTTTCACATTTCTGCGTAACTAGCAGCACAGTAAGGGCCAAGTGATTAACTTCTCCCTCTCTCCCAGTTTCCTAATCTATAAAATGAGGTGGATGTACTAGATGTTCTCAGTTTCCTTCCCCTTCAACAGTTTTCTCATTTCATTGAATTTACAGGTAAGACTGGTTTATGATCTAAATTATAAACACATCAACTAGAACACACTGGGTAACTGATTTGTATACTTTTTTAAGAAGTAAATGAGAAATTAAAAATTATTTTGTGGTATGTTTGCATCTTAACATACTATGTGTTTCTGAGTTTCTCTATTATCTTACTGTTTGATGGTATCTGTATAAATATGTGCTTGAAAATGTAGAATTTAGCTACTTATATGTGGGCTTTATTTCTTTCGGGATTTGAGGCTACTTTAGTACCATTTAAGGCATTTTCTCTTTTTTTATTTCATCATTTGAGTTTTATATTTTTCATTTTTTATATTTTTTAGATGGTTATCCAAATGCAAACCCAGTCCAGGTTTCAACAGCAACATTTTTTCTTTTCTTCAACGAAGAGTAGAGAATGGAGACCAGCTATATCAGTATTGTTCACTGATAATAAAAGGTATATCTCTCAAGCAACAACTTCAGTGGGACCCCAGCAGTCACCATTTGCAAGGGTTTATGGACTTTGGTCTTGGCAAACTTGATGCTGATGAAACGCCACTTGCCTCAGAAACTATTTTGTTAATGGCAGTGGGTATTTCTGGTCATTGGAGAACACCTCTTGGTTATTTTTTTGTAAACAAGGCATCTGGATATTTGCAGGCTCAGCTGCTTCGTCTGACTATTGGCAAACTGAGTGACATAGGGATCACAGTTCTGGCTGTTACGTCTGATGCTACAGCTCATAGTGTTCAGATGGCAAAAGCGTTGGGGATACTTATTGATGGAGACAACATGAAGTGTACATTTCAGCATCCCTCATCTTCTAGTCAACAGATTGCATACTTCTTTGATTCTTGCCACTTGCTCAGATTGATAAGAAATGCATTTCAGAATTTTCAAAGCATTCAGTTTATTAATGGCACAGCACACTGGCAACATCTTGTGGAGTTAGTAGCACTAGAGGAACAGGAATTATCAAATATGGAAAGAATCCCAAGAAAACTTGCAAATTTGAAAAACCATGTACTGAAAATGAATTCTGCTGCCCAACTCTTCAGTGAGAGCGTGGCCAGTGCGTTGGAATGTTTGCTGTCGTTAGGCCTGCCTCCTTTTCAAAACTGTATTGGTACCATCCATTTTTTACGCTTAATTAACAATCTGTTTGACATTTTTAATAGTAGGAACCGTTATGGAAAGGGACTTAAAGGACCTCTGTTGCCCGAAACTTATAGTAAAATTAATCACGTGTTAATTGAAGCTAAGACTATTTTTGTTACATTATCTGACACTAGCAATAATCAAATAATTAAAGGTAAGCGAAAACTAGGATTCCTGGGATTTTTGCTTAATGCTGAGAGCTTACAGTGGCTCTACCAAAATTATGTTTTCCCAAAGGTCATGCCTTTTCCATATCTTCTAACTTACAAATTCAGTCAAGATCATCTGGAGTTATTTCTAAAGATGCTTAGACAGGTATTAGTAACCAGTTCTAACCCTACCTGCATGGCATTCCAGAAAGCTTACCATAATTTGGAGACCAGATACAGATTACAAGATGAAGTTTTTCTAAGTGAAGTAAGCATCCTTGACATTTCAATTGCTCGAAGGACAGACTTGGCCCTTTGGACAGTTCAGCGTCAGTATGGTGTCAGTGTTATGAAGACTCCTTTTCACAAAGAGGATATTTGCCAAGACTGGTCTAATTGTTCGCTAAGTGAAGCACTGCTAGACCTGTCAGATCACAGGCGAAATCTCACCTGTTGTGCTGGGTATATTGCAAATAAGTTATCAGCTCTTTTAACTTGTGAGGACTGCATCAGTGCACTGTATGCATCAGATCTCAAAGCCTCTAAAGTTGGGTCATTCTTATGTGTTAAAAAGAAGAATGGTTTACATCTCCCTTCAGAAAGTCTATGTCGAGTCATAAATATTTGTGAGCGAGTTGTAAGAACCCATACAAGAATGACAGTTGATGAACTACTTCCTCAACAGAGGGAATTGTATCTTCAACAGAAAATATTATATGAGCTTTCTGGGCATATTTATCTTTTTGTACATTTAGATGAGCATCTCTTTGATGGAGAAGTGTGTGCCATCAATCACTTTGTAAAGTTACTAAAGGATATAATAATCTGTTTCTTAACGATCAGAGCTAAAGATGTAGCTCAATACCCTTTAAACCACCATACAGAAAGAACTGAAGTGAAAACTTTGTCAAGGAAACACTGGTCATCTTTACAGGATTACAGAATTTCAAGTTTTGCTAATACCAATAAATTCAGGCATTTGCTAAGTAACGATAGCTATCCATTCAAATGAGGGACCTAAAATATATTAAAATTTTTATTAAGAATATTTGGTCAACGTTTATTTTAAAGTTCAATTTACCATATATTATAAATTGACCATTCTGCACAGTGGACAAGTTTGCAGTTCTGACTTATTTAGAATTTCTAATTATAAAATCTGCTCGTTCTTTGGTGTGGCTTGCAGCATTTCAGCTACCCAAAATGTAGAAAGCAGTAAGTCAGTAGGAGCAGACTAGCCAACAGGTGCTGTCTTTGAATTTACTACTGTAAGACTGAGTAATGTGCCTGGACATACTTGTACTTGTACTTCTTCATTCTACTTTAAAAACAAGAGAGAATAATGACAACTAAGAGTCACCAGAACATTGACTCCTTTTATAAAGAGACTACATTCCCTAAAAGAGCTTTGGTTTACAGTTCTTAAGAATGCTGACAGAATACCTAAAAAACCTTGAATATAATTTTTACTTACATAAGAAAATTAAGATGGGTTCGAAAATTAGGCTAAATTAAAATATCAAATACCACAAAAATCCCTCTACCCAGGTACCCTAAAATAGAAATAGTTGTGCTTTATCAGGCAGAAGGTAAACATGTGAGCCAAGATGGCTCCTTGTGCTGCAACCAAGCTGGGGAGTGTAGTCTGGGAAGTACATAGGTGGTATCATTTTCACAATCCATCGTCCCTGGCCTTCAAAATACTACTTTTGAATAATATAATAGAGTGGGTACTTACTTGACTCCTATTGGAAGAGCCCAATGCTCATCAGAGAATGAGGAGAAGCCTTTATTTCAACTTCTGCTCCTTCTGAAGTCTACTTGTGTTTGCAGGGAGGCTAAAATAATGAAATATATTTTCATTGTTGAATGAATAATGGATATGAAAAAATTTGTCTTAATTATATAATGAGTTTTTTTTAGAAATTTAGGAGAAGCTTAAATATTCTGAAGATGGAAACATACTTAGGACAATTTTCTCCATTCTTTTTACACCTGGACTTGAAAATAAACAGAAAAACATATATCTACTTTCACAAAAGGGAGTATTTTAATGGATAAAGAAGAAACGGGCATATTATTCACCTGTGTATGTGAAACATCTACTTTTTGTCACTGAGTGAATGTTCCCAAAGTACAGTTAATGTGAAAACTTAAAATTGCAAAAGTTTAATATGAGGTAGAATTTGAGTTTTATTAACTGAAATTCCCCTAAATAGTATATTTTGATATATTTCTGTTTGTTCTACCTCAAAGGCATAAGTTTTGAAATATAACCAGATTTGTACTACATTTTATACAAGAGCTATTGCTGAAAAGTCTAAATATTGTGGGTTTTGTTTTGTTTGCAATAGAATGAGTTTAGATGCACCAAGATAAATCTTATTTAAAGGAGGCCTGTTTGTAAATCACCACCTTTAACTTATTGCTTATATAAATCCAAGTTTTGTACCTGATTTTTACCTAAAACTAGGTTCGTATCTGTAGTGTCTTATGCTCTTTACTATTACATTTGACTAATCTACTAATATATTCTGTATTGTAAGAAATGAGTGTTTTGCCTTATTTTTTTTAAGTACTGGATAAATTGGACAAACATTGAAGATAAGAAAATTTCCATGGCTGCCTTTACACAGTTAGTTGCTCTTAGTGAAAGGGTTCCAAGTCTGATATCAGATTTACTTGATATGATGTGCTTTACAGTGAAATTTTTTTTAATAATTTTATTTATTTTTTCCCCCAAAGCCCCAGTAGATAGTTGTATGTCATAGCTGCATATCCTTCTAGTTGCTGTACGTGGGACGTGGCCTCAGCATGGCTGGAGAAGCGGTGCATTGGTGCACGCCTGGGATCCGAACCTGGGCCGCCAGCAGTGGAGCACGCGCACTTAACCGCTAACCCACGGGGCTGGCCCTACCATGAAATTTTAAAAATTATTCATTTTATTTGATTAGGGTAGTTTAGTTTATAATTTCTGCTCAACACCTTTGTCCTTTTTTTCTTCAGAGAAAACAAACATCCCCTTCAGAAATTTATCCTTCCTACTTTTCAACAAATATTACTGGAACAACTGGATATCTACATGCAAAAGTATTAACTCTAAATGGATGAAAGACCTAAATGTAAGAGATAAAACTATAAAACTCTTAGAAGAAAATACAGTAAATCTTTGAGAGTTGGATTAGGCAATAGTTTCTTTGATATGACACCAAAAGTACAAGCAACAAAAATTAAATTGAACTTCACCAAAATTAAAAGCTTGTGCTTCAAAGGACACCATCAAGAAAGTGAAAGCCATAGAATGGGAGAAAATCTTTGCAAATAATATATCTGATAAAGGACTTGTATCTAGAATATGCAAAGAACTCCTATAACTCAATAATAAAGGACAAATAACCCAATTTTAAAAATAAAGAATATGAATAGACATTCTTTAAAGAAGATATACAAATGGCCTATAAACACATGAATATATGCTCAACATCACTAGCCATCTGGGAAATGCAAATCAAAATCACAATGAGGTATCATTTCACACCCACTAGGATGGCTAATACAAAAGACAGATAATAATTGTTGGCAAGAATGTGGAGAAATTGGAACTTTCATACACTGTTGGTGGTAATGCAGATATTTTGGAAAAAACAGCCTAGCAGTTCTTCAAAAGATTAAATGTAGAGTTAGCATATGATCCGGCAATTCTACTGACAGGCATATACCCAGGAGAAAGGAAAACAAGTCCATGTAAAAACTTGTACACAAATTTCATAGCAGCACTATAATAGCTAAACAGTGAAAAAGCCTGCATGTCCAACTGATAAGTGAATAAAAAATGTGCTGTATCCATACAATGGGTCATGTAGTAAGTATATGTATCACTTTATAACAAATAGCCAAGGCTTTTTCCAAGTGCCTGTATCACTGCATTCTAACCAGGAATCTAAGAAAGTTCCAGTTGCTCTACTTCCTCCCCAGTACTTGGTATTTGTTGGAGTTTTGTTTTGAATTAGCCATTCTGATAGGTGTGCAGTGATATTTCATTATAGCTTTTATTTCCATTTTCCTAATGACTAATGATGCTGAGCATCTTTTCATAGGCTTATTTTCCATCCACGTGACCTTCTTAGGTGAAATGTCTGTTCAAGTGTTTTGCCGATATTTTGGAAGATTGTTTTCATATTGAGCGGTAGTTACATATTCTGGATATAAGTGTATTATCAGATGTGTTGTGCAAATACTTTTACCCAGTCTGTGGCCTTTCATTTTCTTAGTGTGTTTTGAAGAGCAGACATTATTAATTTTGATAAGTCCAATTTATCGATTTTTTTCTTTTAGGGATCATTCTTAGTTTCATATCTAAGAAATCTTTGCCTAACCGAAGACCACAGAGATTTTTCTTATGTTTTCTTCCAGCTATTTTGTAGTTTGGGGTTTTGCATTTAGGTTATGATCCATTTTCAGTTAATTTTGGTGTGTGGTATAAGTTGAGGTTCATATTTTTACATATGGATATCCCAGCACCATTTGTTAAAAAGAGACTCTTCTTTCTCCAGTGAAATTACCTTTAAATCCTTGTCAAAAATTGACCGCATATCTATGAGTCTATTTCTGGGCTATTCTGTTCCATTGATCCATGGGTCTAACTTTCACCAATAATACCACACCGTCTTGATTATATAAGTCTTGAAGTCAAGTGGGAGTCCTCCAATTTTGTTCTTTTTTCAAAAATGTTTGGCTATTCTAGTTGTACCTTTCCATATACATTTTATAATCAGCTTGTTGATTTTTACAAAAATTCCTGCTGGGATTTTGACTGGAGTTATGTTGAATCTGTAGATCAATTTGGGGAGAAATGACATCTTAACATGGAATGTTCCAATCCATGAACCTGGTATATCCTTTTTTTTTAAAGTCGTCTTTGATTTTTTTTTAAATCAATGTTTTCTACATTTCACATACAGATCTTGTACATTTCATGTTTTGTGGTGCTATCACAAATAGTCATTTTAAAATTTCAGTTTCTAAATGTTCATCGCTACTACGCAGAAATACAGTTTTGTATACTGACCTTGCTAAACTCACTTATTCTAGTAGCTTTTTTTTTTTTAAAGATTCTTTGACTTTCCTATATAGGCAATCACATCATCTCCAAATAAATATTACTGTCTTATTTATTCATTTCCAGTCTATAGCCTTTTTTTCCCTCATTGTACAGTGACCTCCAACACAATGTTGAGTAGGAGTGCCTTGTTCCCAAACTTAGGAGGAAAACAAACAGTCTTCACCATACGTGATGATAGCTGTAGGCTTTTTGGTAAATTCTTTTTATCAGTTTGAGGATCCCTTCCATTCCTAGTTTGCTGAAGTTTTTTTTTTTTAAATCATAAATGAATTTTGTTAGATGATTTTTTTGTACCTTTTGGAAAAAATTTTTTGAGATATAATTTATATACCATAATCATACTTTTAAAGCATACAATTCAGCAGTTTTTAGTATATTCAAAAGGTTGTCTTCTGCAACTTTTGAAATGATCATATAGTTTTTCTTCTTTTGTATTTTGACAGTCAATTACATTGATTTTTTTAGAATGTTGGGTCAGACTTTTATTCCTGGGATAAACCCAACCTGGTCACGATGTATTCTTTTTATAAATTGCCAGATTTCATTTGCTAATATAATAAATTACACAGTGACATTAAAGTCTGTGGCCTTATAATAAACATTACCCTAGATATACTTACTTTCTTATTGCTTTTGAGTAAAAATTAAACATGCCTTAAATGCTTTCATAAATCTTATTTAAAAGTAAATTTTTAATTTAAAAAACATAACTTTCCTTTTATAAAATCACTTAGATCATAAAAAGCTCACATTGGTCTACAGATATTGACAAACCATGCATTAAAGAAACCCTAACAAGGAAAAACAAACAAAAGCCCTAAGTAATTTACATAATAGAAAATAACTCCAGTAGTAAAGGCTTTCTAGCTGATGTGCTTCCCTCTCCTTTGGGCTGCTGCTCCAGAATTCCTACATGAATTGCTTCAGGGATGTAACAGGACCACAGTTAGGGCTGGAGGTCCTGGTTTGAAGCTGTATTTACATAACGAGTATTCATTTTCTTAGCTGTTTGTGTTACAGAACAATAAAAATAGAAAACTTTTCTAAAGGTACTTTTATTCCTATTTTACATAAGACTGAGAAAATGTCAGCTGCCCGTGTCAAAGAATGGGGAGGCTAAAGCAGGAGCCTCTGCCCAGAGACACTGCTCTGCGGCTTTTATTGCCCGTCACATTAAGGTTCTGTTCCCACACAGTCCAGAGATAAGACCTGCAGGTTGCTTTTAGTTGAGAGAAAAGGAAACTAAGAAAGATGCTCACCATAAGAACATCAAACATTAAAAGAAAGAGTAGATTGAGTTTCTGCCCTTAAAAGAAGCAGTGGAAAAAAGAGAAGACATATTTCCGTTTCAAAGCAATATGTTAATAATTGGGAAAAATGCTAGATTTATTTTTTAGTTGTGTACTTTCAGAACTAATGTCAAATTTACTTAAAATCAAATATTTTAAAAGGTTTCTTCCATGTTAAATGGTTAAAAGTGGTGTTATTAAAGAAAAAAATGCAAAACCTTTTTTTTTTACAGAATAGTATAAATGTTTATTTTCTGTATGATTTACTTTGCTGTCCTGTTTTTACAATATAGAAAAGTGTATTCTTTGAATAGCTCTAGTAAATATAAATTTAATCTTTCTACTTTGGGATGTAAATAGAGCTAAAAAATTATATACCCAACCCTCCCCAAATAGTCTTTTAAAATTGTTGAATTAATGTGGATATTAATCTTGTTCAGCAATTTGATGCAAATGCCTAAATACAAAAAGTTGTTTAGTAAGTACTACACAGGAAGGAAAAAGCTTAATACTTTAGATAGCTTCTTGAAAATCAGAAAAACTAGTAGCATTTGATTGCACCTTCAAATTTTTACAAGCAAAACATTCTCAAGCAATGCCATCATACATAATCTACAATTGTGATCCAAATTTCACAAACATTTTCTGCACACTGTATATAAATACACATCACAAAGGTGCAATTAGAATTAAACACAGAATATTTACAAAATGAACAAAGTTTAGATTTAGACCTAAAAGGTACTGTAATCTTTTGAAAAATAATGTGATTAGATATTATTTTATCCTCTTACACTAATTTACATTTATACAAATTTTAATTAAACATACTAGATTGAGGTGCTAAGAATGTTTGCACTATCTACATTTAAAGTTACTGCACTATAATTTTATAAATCCAAATTTCAAAAGATACTCTAATGAATAACGGAATCTTTTGGATTACTTAATTTCTATTGCCTATATCTTACGTGTTCATATGAACATATATACACACTTAATACATACAACTATAGATTCCTCGGAGGAAATGTAATAATCATATACTAATAATTACTGAGGATTAAGGTACCTAACAAAATGCCTCAATTCCAACATGGTTTTTTCTTGTCATAAAATCCAGAGTCCTATTATAACAAGGCTCTTAAATTCATAAAGCTTTGAATTTTGAATTACTGAAAGTGATTTAGGTCATTTTAGTAATTATATTCAGCTTACCAAATCACTGGCTAAAAATAATGCCATATTAAGCTTCCCTTATAAACAGAAATCCCACTACAATTTTGAAAGCTTTGTTAGGAGGCCCATTTCAGTAAATCGAGTAAAAGTCATATATTGGTTTGAAACCTTTTAGTTCAAAAGTGTATAAAGAGAACTGTTGTAAGATGAAAAACCCTTCCCTAAATTCATCTCTTAGAGCTTCAATATTCTTTATTCTCTATCCAAGCCAAATTTTATACCTGATAATTACGTAAGGTTCTATATTATCGCTACATAATAATAATATGTTTACTTCTATTCATATGCACCTTTCATTTTAATAGTACCCAGTAATCACTTTGAAAATTTATTATCATTTCAAATACATACCACCTCCTTGAAAGAAAATGGAAACATCCCAGGGCATTTCTTAGTCACTCATTATGGAAATACATTGCCCATCCTTTGAGAATTATTTACTGTCCTGTAACACTTTATATGTTTTTTTAAAAAACAACGTTTTTATTTTAAAAGTGTGCCTACGGATTACTTCCCCTTCTGACATTCCCAAAGTGACAATAGGATATTATACCAGAATCTTCCCTAGAAAGTTGACTTCTCTTAAGAAGACAGTACTTTTCTAAACAACATGTCATTTGAATATGTTTCATAAGAATTTGTTTATGTAGACATTCTATCTGCTTATATTCTAGGTCTAATACCAAAGAATGACTGGGTAATACCAATGCTTCTTTGGCTTTTTCTACTGGAACAAAGTCATACAACGCCATACATTATAAATTATAGTAATTTATAAATGTTCTTTGTCAATAGAATCAGAAGGATAGAACATCTAATTGTTAAGAAACCCAAGCAAATTAAAAACCTATATAATACAATAAAGAAAAATTCAATTTAGAAGGGGCATAAGCAGATTTAACTAAGATTTAAAATGTACTAACTTCCTCATTTAAAATTTCTTTTTTTTTCAATATAATCTCAGGTCTCACAGGACTGAATTAACAATACAATAATTGTTAAACTATCTTCCAGAAAATAAAGTGTCCCTGCACCTTCAATCTTCTGTACAGTTCCATTTATCAGTCTTTTGTGCAGGAGTTAGCAATTCATGGCACAAGGGTCACTTTTTGCTTTTCCTGCAGAGTTGATGACGCTCATCAAACATCGTCCGAATTCCTCAAGTATCATCCGTTCAGCCGCTGCCTTTGATTTCCCCTTCTTGTCTGCCTGCTCTGCCTGGGCAAGAAGGCAATTACACGTGGCTTCTGCTACTTCCTTAGTTACAAATGTAAATGGCAATCTGAAAGGATTTTTGAAAGAGAGAGAGATGATGATGGTGTTGAATGACAACAAAACTGAGCGACATTTTTTCATCTGGAAATCTCTGCTGACATTTTCATGATTCACCAGCACACTGAGCATCACAATTTGTGCAGTGAGCACAAGCAATCCTAAAGAGCTTTAAAAAGTTAGACCTGTTTTATTATTGAGCATATTTTTAAAATATTGTCCAGAAAACATAACATTTTAAATAAAATATGTCTTATTACCTAGACAAGGTTATCTGGTTAACTAGAAGATGTAATTCTACATACTGACTGAGTATTTCTATAACAAAAGTCCTCCCAATTCATGAAGGTATGCTCCATGAGTGCAGTCTTTGCTTCATTTATACTGCTATTTCTTTACTGCCTAGAACAGTGCTGGACACATAAGACGCTCGATGAATATTTGCTGAATGAATGAAAGAAAGAATATTGAGAATTGAGAGCACTGTCTCCTGGACAACACTGAAAATAAAGCTCTTTCCCATAGTCCCATATATTGTTTGTAAAAAACAAAAAAGCACCCCAAAATTTTGTATTCCATTGCAACAAACAAAACAAAACAATGGGGAAACCCAACACTGTTGTTTACATGGAGTTTCGTTCATTCATTCATAAAGACCTTAAGAATTGAGTATTAAATTAGAGCACTCCATCCTGAGGCTTGCTATTGTAGCCAAGTTAAATCTTAAAGTTGTCAAGAGACAAAATCAGGCAACCTAATCTAACCACTAACTCAACAACCTGTTAGTAAGCAGTCACTGACAGAAGGAAACTGCAAGATAAAATACATGAAGTCTGCAATTAAAGCCCACTATGACAAGAGAGGGTAATTGATTTAGGTTGCTATACAGTTGTATAAAAATCTTTCAAATAAACAAAAGCACTTTAAATTAAAAAATCAGGGCCGGCCCCGTGGCTTAGCGGTTAAGTGCGCGTGCTCCGCTGCTGGCCGCCCGGGTTCGGATCCCAGGCACACACCGACACACCACTTCTCCGGCCATGCTGAGGCCATGTCCCACATACAGCAACTAGAAGGATGTGCAACTATGACATACCACTATCTACTGGGGCTTTGGGGGAAAAATAAATAAATAAATAAAATTATAAAATAAATAATTAAAAAATCATAATATGATAATTACAATAATGTTAATATTACAGTAATATTGTATAATTAGTGATACTGTATTTGGAAGCTATAGAAAAGTAAAAGAAGGGAAAAAATTCAAATTTTTGCCACTCAAAGACAAAAGCTTATTAACATGCTAGTATAACTTTTTTAATAGTTTTTTTACATAGTTTTGATTATAGTGTATAATTTTCTGTTCTTTTATACTTCATAACATCATGAACATTTTCCCAAGTTGAAATATTAATTGTAAATATTCTACTGTATCTTTAATCTCCACAGGGAGATTAGATTTAATCATCTAAAGGATTATTGAAAGCAGATGACCAAAAAGGATCCCTTGTTATAACGCTCATGAAGGTGTCTGCCCATTTCCACTTTATTCAGTCAAGAACCATTTACTCATTATATTCCAGTTATAAGAGTTCTTTAGAACTAATAAGTGAAATTTTTGTACAAAAGCATTTTTATAAGCACTGGATCTTATTTCAAACTTAGGCATTTTAAATAATATGCCATTTGCAAGGCTCATTCCATTTAATAATTCCTCAAATTAACCTCTAACGTCTAATACAAATCCAAGTCAGGAAGCTATGCTGCATTGGGCCCTGCCAAACGCTGGGGGAGAGATGCTTCACTCCTCACGGCCTCCTGGTAAGTAAGGTGATTTGAAGAATAAGAAAACCAAGGCTCAGAGATGAAGAGCTTGTCAAATTCACAAACTACTGCAGAGCACAGACAGTATTTTTTTTGTGTGTGTGAGGAAGATCAGCCCTGAGCTAACATCCATGCTAATCCTCCTCTTCTTGCTGAGGAAGACCGGCTCTGAGCTAACATCTATTGCCAATCCTCCTCCTTTTTTTCCCCAAAGCCCCAGTAGATAGTTGCATGTCACAGTTGCACATCCCTCCAGCTGCTGCATGTGGGACGCGGCCTCAGCATGGCCAGAGAAGCGATGCGTCGGTGCGCACCCGGGATCTGAACCTGGGCCGCCGGTAGTGGAGCACGCGCACCCAACCGCTAAGCCACGGGGCAGGCCTGAGCACAGACAGTATTTAAACTCAGGTTGGCCTCACTTGAAAGCCCCAACTTTCCCACTCCAGAGCTCAGCAGCCTAGTGTAATGAGAAGCTACACTAACACAGTGTGTGACAGGTGCTCCAATAGGATGGCAAAGTATTCAAGGGCACGGAAAAGGCAAGAGAAGGTAAGAATGTGCAAAAATATGAATAATGACACTACCAGTAAGAGGTAGAAAAAATTTGGTTTTTTTCTTAGGAGTTTGTCAAATTACATAATTACCTCATTTTAGCAGGGAGAAATCCAATTAAATTAAGCACAGTGAACTAAAGCATTACGTGCAATTTAGAACTGTACAACAGATCTGACAGCGGTTTTTCTGTTACCTTTAAAATCCTTTAGAAGTAACTAAAGATAGAAAGAAAATGCAAAAGTCAGGTTTGCAACAACCAAAAGTATGAACTCAATTTTGCCCAAAACAAGAAACTTTAAAAAAAATGTACATTCATGTCATACTATAAACAGAGATTAAAATATTGACTTACTTTCCTCCTCCGCTATTCAAAGCTGGTGTTGGCCTGGTAAGCAAGTCCGAAATTTGAGAGGATAACTTAGTCTTCGCTGCTGTCTGTTGCTGTACCCTTACTTCGGCTGCATCTGCCAAGTGCATCAATGTCTTTCTTTCTGGGCTTTCTTCAAAATTCTTACAGCCAATACATTTGCATATCGAGGAACACATTATTTTTGCCTAAAAGATTTACAAAAGAAAAGCTTCCAAATCAAAACCAAAAAACATTACTGTAAGTAGACTCCATGATCAAATTAACATAATAGAATTAACTAGTCAACTGACATAAGATAAAATGGAAACATTTGCCAACAAACACTAAATGGGCTAACTACACACGTGAATAGGTCGGGTAGTCTTAAGTCTAAGAGCGGCTCTGCAATGTTTGTGTTTGAGCCCTTGTGTCAATTTTTCCCCCACTACAGATTCTCCTCCTGATATGAATACCATGTTTTTTTTATAAAGAATATGAATGATACATTACAATAGTAAAAAAATAAGGGTCATCCAGAATCCAACCACCTCAACCAAATCACCATTAACATATTGGTGACCTCCCGCTTACACAAACACACACACATTAAAGGGGTTTCACAGATGCTATTTTTATTATGAATACCTCCCTCCCTGAATCCCCTCTCCAGATTCCCCAAACCCTTCGACAGTCTATATTAAACCAGTGTCTCCTTTCATGTCAAAATATGTAAAATATATGTATGTTTATGAAAAACATAGACCTTATAAACATACACATATATTAACTCACAAATACAGAAGTCTTTCCTTGTTTTAGTTTGTTTTACAAAATCATATACCCACTTTCTCCATCTTCCTTTTCTTCCACGACGCCTCATGGAATCTCTCCCTCCAAGTCATCTGGCATAGGCTGAATTCATTCTATTTAATGGCTGGGTATTAATCCTTGTTATTTGGGCATTCACTCCCCTACTGATGGGCATTTATTTTGTTTCCAGTTCTTCAGTACCACAAACAACACACAAACAGATTTTTGTATATATTATGCTTTTATTTCTATGAGCTAGATTTCTAGAATTGGGCTCAATGGCCAAAGGGTACGTGCATTTTAATTTTAATAGATGTGGCCAGATTGTTTTTTCAAAAGGCTGTAACACGTCACATCTCATCAGCAACATATAAAGGAAGCTTTTCCCACATTCCCCCCAATGATGTTTATTACAGCTCATTCAATATTTACCAATCTGATTGGGGGAAAGAGAGAAAGTGAGATCTCACTGTTCTTTAATTTACATTTCCCAGACTCCTAATAAGTCTGAGTATCTTTTCTTGGCTGCATTTTCTTTAGTGAACCCATGTCAATTTAAATAAACAAACCCACCGTCCTTTCTCTCTACAGCACCTAACGAGATAAACGGGTCATATTATGAACACATTTATCCAGCTCCTTCCTTACAAGACACGAATAAATTCCATTTACCAAGGGAAAAAAATGGATATACATTTTGCATTAATTGGGTTACTATGAGCCAGTCTGGGAATCTAACTAAAGCAACACTTAGGGCCGGCCCCGTGGCTTAGCGGTTGAGTGCGCGCACTCTGCTGCTGGCTGCCCGGGTTCGGATCCCAGGCGCACACCAACACACCGCTTCTCCGGCCATGCCAAGGCCATGTCCCACATACAGCAACTAGAAGGATGTGCAGCTATGACATACAACTATCTACTGGGGCTTTGGGGGAAAAAAATAAATAAATAAAAATTAAAAAAAAAAAAAAAAAAAAAAAACCCCCAAACTTTTTAAAAAAAAAAAAAAAAGCAACACTTAATAATTATTTAATGATGCAGAGATAAAATCCCTGACCTCAAGGGAGAAAAAGACATACCAATAATGGTAATTTGGATTGAGTTTTAAGAACCATAAGAAAGGTATAATAATATCTAACTAATAATGTCTAACTCAGGAGGGACAAATGACAAGGCATCCATTTAGCTTTGCTAAGTCAACTTCCCTTGTGGCCAAAAAAAAAAGAGAAGAAAAAAAGGTCACACAAAAAAGGCACAACCATTTAAATAATATGGACAGTCACTCATCCAATCAACAACCCTGAAAGACATGTGAAAGCACAGGAATGTGTTATCCAGGTGCAGACAGACCAAAAAAAAGCCAATCCAATTCAATGCACCAAGAATTCAAAGCAAACTCAGGCACCACCACAGCTAATTCATGGTGAGCCAAATGGCCACTGCTAGTCATAGTTTAGTGTATTCCAAGTTTTTCCATTTCTTGGTCTTTTAGAATGAGAAATTAGTTATTAGACATTGTGTATGTCCTGAATGTCAAGGATTTTATTATAATACATAGGGCAGCATTCTCTCTTCTAACATATTTCAACCAGTCCACTGCCTTTTCTACTTCTATTAATTCACAGATTTGTTAACCAGTTCAATTAAATTCTAAGTTCATGTATGTTTGAATTTCATATGCCTAGCATGTATTAACTGTTCAATGCCATATGCATGAAAGGGTTTCTTTGCTCTTCTGACCCAACTTTACATCAATTTCCACTTTCTCTTTTTTGTGGACTTGGTTTTATAGCTTACATTTTTACATATTCATGACAATTTTTATATGATACGCTTTATGAACAGAAGTCACCTATTTCATCAAGTCTTCAAACAAGAGTGCAACTTTTCCAACACTGGATGAAAAACTGACTTGTTGAACTCTGAGACACTATTTAAGAGACTTTCAAAAATACTCTTGATTATATGCAATTTTCACTCAATATTGACTTTAATAATAACAAGATGTTACTTTACTTCTTGAGAGGTGTATTTGACCTCTGAAATATGTAAATGAAGAATTCATTACACAGAGAATACACAAAGCCTTTACCATGACATATTTGTATGGAGGGGTCACTAAACTGCAGGCACATGCTCCTGGAGCAGAGCAAACCTGCCCAGGGAGAGTGTAGTCCTCGGTGGTATTACTTTACCAAGTGCAAGGCTAGGCCTTCTGCCAAAACTAAAAATAAGGTCTCCCTCTGATTATGAAATTTGAAAGAATGAAACATAACAGATGAGAAGAGCCAACTGTAGGAATGACTCAACCCAAAAGATTGTAAAGAGTTTCAGGCGCACAGAGAAATCAATTACAATAATCTAGAGTTAATCTCAGGCAGGACTAGATTGTTATATTTAAGGTTTGAAAGTAAAAATAATAAACTATATAGTACTTGGTCTGAAGCAAGAAGGGAAGATTTACATGGCATCTGTCAAAGCAGAGCTTCAACTACATTCTCCAGAAAACATGCCTGATCCATAAATAAAATCACCATCAAGTCGGATGGTGAAATGGTAAAAACGGATGCAACCACCTCACAATGACCAATAACCTCATCCAGCAATATTCTATATTCCTTCTTTCCTATTTTTATGCTCACAAAGCAAACTTCTTAACACAATTTAGTTTCCCACAGAGCAGTGTTCTTCAACAGGGCACTATTGGCATTTTCAGCAAGATAAATCTTTACTTTCAGGATGGCACCCTGGAATGGAGGCTATTTTGTATCCATACGTATATTTCCAAAAAAGCTCGTGGGGGAGAGAGTGGGTAGGGCTGCCCCTCAGTTAAGAATCACAGCTATAGAGTTTCTAATCCACTTTGATGTTATTACTTTTATTGAAAATCAATAAACTGGTACTCTGATTTGCACAGTTCCAGGTATAATGACCAAGTTATGAACCGGTAATCAGCTAATGAGACCCCAAGCTGTAATGACAAAACCAAGGTACTGTTCCTCTGAAGCCCTGCTTGGGATTCCCAAGTGAGGGCCCTTGGGCCAACTGTGCGTATTTTTAAACTCCAATAGCAAAGTAATTCCCCAATTCTCAGGTAAATTTTTATAGTATGACCTTTCTAAAGTTATTTTCAAAAGATGATTACATTATTTTCCCCAGCCAGCATCTCACCTCATAGCATTCACAATAGTTTTTAAGACATCCTGATCGTTTGCAATTACATCCTTTGCTGTGACGTCGATCTGATTCTCCCTCCTTTCCTTTCCCTATTTTAGGCTTAAAAGCTTCTGGATTTCTGTCGAGGCATGCCTATCAAAACAGATCAAATATCAGCTGGAATTAAATCACAGGAGATTAAACACTGCAAAGGGAATTAATTTTCTTTGTAAACAACTGACATCCAAAAAACAGGTGAAGTTGGAAATTTCTGTCAGCTAAATGAAATAAAAAATAATCACCTTTATTGCTTTTTGCCTTTCATTTTCATGTTCCAAATTATTGTAACAATTAGTACAATTGCAGTTGTTGCAAAATTCACCATTTGCAAAGCAATCACAATATCTGGAATATAAAAACCAGTGTAAGTCATATAAAAAGGTCATTGTTAAACAAAATTAGAATTTATCTGGTTTAATAGCATTATATATGCAGTAAAGCATTTTAGAGATGTACTCAGAGCCACCTAGTTATAGAGATAACCATATATATTGACTGTCAGCCACTTACAGCTCAAAATTTTATTTTTTTATTTTTTATTTTTTTGTGAGGAAGATCAGCCCTGAGCTAACATCCATGCCAATCCTCCTCTTTTTGCTGAGGAAGACCGGCTCTGAGCTAACATCTATTGCCAATCCTCCTCCTCCTTTTTTTCCCCAAAGCCCCAGTAGATAGTTGTATGTCATAGTTGCACATCCTTCTAGTTGCTGTATGTGGGACGCGGCCTCAGCATGGCGGGACAAGCGGTGCGTCAGTGCCCACCTGGGATCCGAACCCAGGTCGCCAGTAGTGGAGCACACGCACTTAACTGCTAAGCCATGGAGCCGGCCCCCACAGCTCAAAATTAAAGTCACCAGCTCCTAGAATTCTGGTTTAGAAACTTAGTTCCAGTAGTAACAACTGTCAACACAAGAGCTATGCGATTTTATGTGCCCCCAAAGCAAGTTTTCTCAAAATTATGAGAAAGGAAAAACATGGGCCATATTCTATAGTGAAATCTGCTCACGTGAACTACTGTCATGCTTTTTTGGATTCTAAACCCCATAAGACCAATGCTTTTCATTTAACTGTTTCATGTCAAATCTCTTAGTTTGGTATTAATAGGCAAATTAATCATCCAACAATTTTTAAAACTACTCAGAGTATCACTTCATTTAGGAGACAAAATATAAAGGTCATAAATAAGATCAAATTTATTATTTTTCAGGACAGAGACTGTGTCTGTCTCATGCTGCTGTGTCCCTAACCCCGACTCCAGCTCCTCAGGTATGGTGAAGACTCAAAAATTATTTCTTTTTGAATGAAAGAGTATTTTTACATTGTCATATGTACTTGAACATTCACTTACATATTTATTTAAATTACTTAGACTTATGAAATTGGTCTGTTAAGAATTTTTAGTTAACTCCATTTATTTTTAAAGCACTTTCAGTTATACCAAATGAGAAAACAATAGCAAAAAGACTTACAATTTCAAGCACAGTGATTTTGTACAATTACAGGGCTTTCTGGGCCGACTGGCGGACTCGGATGGGATTATGCTATACAGACACAAAAAAAAGACATACATTTTAATCAATTAAAGGTAACTATTTAAAATTAGACAAGTCTCCAATCTGTAAATTCCTCCTAAAATAAAGCTTTAACAAATGTATCCATCTCTAATAAAAGTTTGCTATGTTGTTCCATTTACATTAAGTTCTAAAGAAAGCCATAATGTGAAAAGAGACATAGAGAGCCAAGAAATGGATTCAAGAAAAAAAAAAGAAGTTATCAACAGCTTCTAAATAACAATCCACAGAAAATACTCTTCCTCCTGAAAGAACTAGAGGTGAAATCTCCTCAAAACTTTTAGGATTCAATTATAAAAGGTAGTGAGAAACAAGGGTGTGTGGGGTGGGAATTTGGGAGGGGGAGGGGTAGACTGGTTCCATGTAATTAACTAAACACTGCTTCTAAACCAATACTGCAAGGGCAGCAGTTAACAGATTAAAAAACAGACAAATAAAAAAAGCAAGGACCTAACATAATAATTTAAAAACTAGTTAATATCATTTTAAAAATACAATTAGGATGAGACAGAGAAGAGACAGAGAAGAGACAGAGAGTGAGAATAATAGAACTCATGTGGCAGAATTGGTTAATCCAAGTAAAAGATATTTGGGTGTTTCTCTGACTATTCCTGTAACTTTTCTGTTTAAAGTATTTCAAAATAAAAGGTACCACAGAGGCATGCTCACGTGGCTTTGAGGGAAAAAAATCAAATAAATGTATTTTGAAATATACATGTTTGATACTGCATTTAACCTGATCCAACAACCTAACTTAGATATTTTCAAAATACTCACCCATTGAATGGAAGCCTTGCCTGGGTCTGGATACCAGGTGTTCCGGTAAAGTTAGAGTTGCTTGCTATAGACACATATGAAGACTGCTGTAGCTACATGTAAAAAAAAGGTAATTTTAGACTATATTTAGAAAAACAGACAATACTCTCATATATAATGCTCAGTAAGAAGCACAAATTCATCTACGAAAATAGTGAAAATAGACTGGAGAATTTCAGGGCTGGCCCCTTGGCCAAGTGGTTCAAATTCCTCGCACTCCAGCTTGGTGGCCCAGGTTCGCAGGTTCAGATCCCGGGTGCGGACCTACTCCATTCATCAGCCATACTGTGGAGGCATCCCACATACAAAATAGAGGAAGACTGGCACAGATGTTAGCTCAGGGCTAATCTTCCTCAAGCAAAAAAAGAGGAAAACAGGCAACGGATGTTAGCTCTGGGTAATTCCTCCTCACCAAAAAAAAAAAAATACAAAGAATAGAGAATTTCATACAAACACACGACCCCAAAGAGTTTTTCTAAAGACCCAAACTAATAGTAGAAGTGAAAACAATGTGAACATTTTAAAGTCTACATAGTACATATATAAAAATTTTTTTCATAGAGGAGTAAGTATATCAGTATTAGGAAATTCTAGATGAATGCCCTGAAAGGTACTGTAATAACCTGTACTGGCTAGAAAAATGCAACGTGGCTACTTGTAAATAAAATAGGCACTATATTGATCATTCATCACAAGTTATACAGAGAATGACAAGTTACATGCACAATAATTAAGTTTCTATTTTACACTGATTTCTAAACATAAGAGATGCTAATGATAAAAATACCTAAACATTAATTTTTAAATCAGTAGCCATATAACGTACTCCAAAGTACATTTCATTAAAGTACACAGATAACTTTCTGTTTCTCTCTCTTATAATCTGAGTACAGTCATGCATCCTTTAATGATAGGGACACGTTCTGAGAAATGTGTCATTAAGTGATTTTGTCATTATGCGAACATCATGGAGTGTACTCCCACAAACCTAGATGGTAGAGCCTATTACACACCTAGGCCATATGGTACTAATCTTATGGGACCACCATCATGTATGTGGTCTGTTATTGACTAAATGTTGTTATGCGGCGCATGACTGTAGATCAATTCAACAGCTTAGAACATGGTGCTAAATTCCTTGACTCTTATATGAAAAAGAAAACTTCTATCTGCTTTCTAGAAGGAGTGCTCCTAACCCAAGCCAGCCAACTGGATAACACATGGCTTTGATTCTAAAGATGACCAGATGAGAGTGTCTAGACAGATCATTAAAGACAACATCATCTAGAAATGCATCCTGCTGTCTATTTTCCAAGAAAAAATCAGTGGCATCATATTCATACGTGAGGAAGAGCTTTATTAATAGTCACATTCCTTTCTAAATTCATCTGGACTCTGCTGACTTTAACTTCAACTTATTTTCTCTTATATCGACAAGATCTTGCCTCTCATCAAACTGCTCTTAGCTCCAAATTGTCTGATCTGTACATTCGACTTGTGCTGTATATTTCTAAATGCTAAAGGTAGGTAAAAATAAACTCAGAAGTTTTTGTTAACATTTCAAGATTTTGGGAAGAGCCATTTTAATACTCAGTTAGATGTTTCTGAGTAGTTTCAGGATGTGATAGCACTAGACATCTTAGACCCAATTTTCCTTTTTGAAATGCAATGACAATTTTTTCCTCCTACCTGAGTAACGTACTGAGCTGGAAGCACTGCGTAACCCACATTCCCTGTTCCCGGAGCTGGTGCCAGCACGGTGCCTGGCGGCAGGTTCGTGAGGTTTGGCTGGATCTGTGGTAGTGGTGTGGCCGGCATGATGAGCCGCTGCTGTGGCTGGCTGGTAGTAACTATTTGTGAAGTTGGATTGATCGGTTTTGGAACAACCTAAAAAGAAAAGAAGTATATCAATGATTACAAAAGTAAATTTACAGCTTCTCAATTCAGTATAAATCTCTTGTACTTAAATCTTTTTTTTTGGTGACGAAGATTAGCCCTGAGCTAACATCCGTTGCCAATCCTCTTCTTTTTTGCTGAGGAAGACTGGCCCTGGGCTAATATCCATGCCCATCTTCCTCTACTTTATATGGGACGCCGCCACAGCATGGCTTGACAAGTGGTGCATCAGTGCGCGCCTGGGACCCGAACCTGCGAACCCCCAGGCCACCGCAGTGGAGCATGCACGCTTAAGTGCTTGCGCCACTGGGCAGGCCCCTTAACTTTCAATTTTAAAAGTAAATTCTGTTTGGGAGAGACTAAGAAAAGAAGTCACATGATACTTACTTGTTTGACAGCCTGCGCTGAGACCAGGGGAACTGACATCCGCACTGGAGTGGTATTAACCACCACTGGTTTTGCTTTTTTAAAAAGAGGAGAGAAAAGGACAATTTATTTACAGAAAATAGTATTTAAAACATTTAAGATACCTAGTTCTCTCAAGATAGCCTCATGAAAGAGCTTAAAGAATTCCATTTGTTTCCTATTTGGAGCGATCTTTAATCTGGATAGTTACCTTTTAAAATTCCTTAACCCATCTACCAGGAAAATTAAACATTAATTTAAAAACTGCCCTTCGGAAGCTTGAGTAACGATGCTGTTCCACACTATTTCTAATTGCTGTGTCTGTATTCAAACCAGAGAAAATATCATTCTTGTATAATTCATTATTCAGAGTACCTACTACAAGGCAGCATAGCATGAAGGTGGAGAATACAGGCTGGCTCTTAAACCATAAGACCCTGGGGGTGGAGAGCCCAATTCCGCTCCTTTCTAACTACTTCAACTCTCTTTGCCTGTATCCTCATCTGCAATATGGGGATAGTATCTCCCTTATTGGGTATGAGGATTAAATATATTAATTCATGAAAATTTATTAGAACAGTGTCCAACAAATAGTAAGTGCTTGATAAATGTTAGTTGCCTTTATTGTTATGAGTGTTGTTACTATTACAACCCTTATTACTATATACTAAATGGTATTGTGGACCATGTTCCAGGGAAACTAAAGTACAAGACACATGCTCAAAGAGATTATTTTCAAGTATAGCAGATTAGACAAGTACACAAATAACATAAATACTGTTAAAAAAGAGAAAGTGCTATAGGAGTCCAAAGGAGACAGAACACACAACTGATTGGCAAAGGATGGGAATACAGAAAGAATGCATGGAGGACACAGTGTCTGAGACGGGTCCTGATCAATGGACAGGCTGCAGAGAGGGCACACGGACTGGAGGAGGACATTCCATGCAGAGCAAGAAGCATGAGAGGTGGAGGCTTGATGCTAGGAAGCAGCAAAGCATTTCACAAAAGTCGGTGAACAGACCAGTTTGGCTGGAAGCCAATGTTAAAGTAGGCAAGGAAAGGCAAAAAGGCAGATTGTGGCCTTTTTTTTTTTTTCCTGAGGATGATTCGCCCTGAGTTAACATCAATGCCAATATTTCTCTATTTTGTTTGTGGGTTGCTGCCACAGCACGGCCACTGATGAGTGGTGTAGGTCCATGCCCAGGAACCGAACCCAGGCCACGGAAATTGAGCGTGCCAAACTTAACTACTAGGCCACAGGGCCAGCCCCAGATTGTGGCCATTTTGTTGAAGTCCTTGAATGTTAGGATAGAAATCTGTATTTTTAATCTATACTTTTAATTCAGCAGCCAATGAGACATTTCTGAAGTACAAAAATATTACTGGAATAGCACAAAAAGAAATTGTATTTAGCAGCAGTGTGTAAAACAGAATGGATTGCAAGAAATAAGGAAAAGTTAGAACAGTGTAAAAAATGAGGGTCTAATCTGGGGTGACAGCATAGGGAATGGAAAGGAGAGAGCAATTGAGAGGCATGGTAGAGGTGAAAAGAACATGAACTATCAACCAGCTGAATGGCAGGAATTGTAGGTATAAAGGAAGCAAAAGTAAGTCATCATGAAGCTTTCAAGTGACCAGGAAAATGACAACTATTAGAACTAAAAATTCAAGGACGAGCTGATTTGAAGGGAAGATGAAACCTGACATGCAGAAATGCTATGATGAAATTCAGGAGCGAGGCTGACATTACACTGACATATTTGGACCAAAAACAATTTTTAATACTGCCTACTACCATTTCCAGTCTAAAAAAGGATATAAGAAGACTGAAAGGACATCCCTTCAGGTTTCATTTACGCAAAAAGCCTAGAGTCTGGTATGAAAGAGACAAGTGAGAAAATGGGATCTAAACTGCTCTGAACAATAAAAGGAAAAGAATAGAAAGGCTGTTAATATTAACAGATTTTTTATTTTTGGTGGGGATGGGAGGGCTGATGGCTGAAGAGAAAAAGTTGAGAGTCGTGAAAGAACACGAGAGAAAGAACTCTGATCTCAAAGGGAGCAGACCCCTGCAGCAGGTGACAAACTAGGGAGGCGGTGGGGGGGAAGGTGGGAGACCTCCAGGCAGTGTATGATTAGTGGTGATGACTGCATCTCTCTGAATATACTAAAAACCACTAAATGTATGTTTAAAAGGGTAACTTTTATGGTAGATATGAATTATATCTCAATAAAGTTACTATACAAAAAGAGCATGACCATGAATTATAGGAACAGTGACATCTGATACCCAGTTTGAAACTGTTATCCTTTCTGATTCTCCTCAGTTATTTTAGCTCTAGTAGAGTTATAATAACTACTGTAGACTGGTCTCAGGAACACCAAAGGAATTAAAAGGAATTAAAAGCCTGAATTCATGCTTGGGACATAGAAGAGTGGACTCCCTACACCACTTGCTCCTTGGACAGACGCTGGTCATCATTCCATGAGCACATAGAGCGGAGATGTGAAGCGAGGGCGACAACTAGAGGAATGTAAGAACTTCCTGGTCTGTGAAATAACGGGGAAGGAGCATGTGGCTTGCCCTCAGTCACATCAAATGGGAGACTCGGATGATTCTTATTTGGATAATAAAGAAAAAGTAAGTGTCCTCATGCGTGTAACACACACAAACACAGATAGAAAACTTGGGAACTCTAGGTTTACATCAGTTTGGCATCTCCATGCTGGGTTTTAACGAAAACCTGAGGAATGAAGAAAATATAAAATGAAGTGGTCAGAAAACAGAACACTAGGGGGTCATATTGATGTTATATAACTAAATCAACAGTCTGTATTTCTCCTCCTCCTCAACTTTGCAGCATGGTCTCACATTAATACTACTGCAGTTTTCACTGAAGCTGGCATAATCTTTTATTTTTTAGTCTTTAACAGGAATTCTGAACAGTCCTTTTAGAACAGCCTTCTTCCAAACTTCAGAAACCATACCTGCAAGTGTTTGATACTTTTTAATTTCTTAAACTGATTTCCTCCCTCACCAAGACGGCAGGAGATTATATTCTAAAGAGGTTAACCAAGCACTCTTCTGCGTCTTTCTACTGTGCTGCCTGCCACCCAGCCAGCAATTAACATGGTGGAGCCTTTGAACACTGGTTTTTGTATGGCTTTGGCGGGAAAATGTACAAGATGAGCCCAATTCCCTCTGGCATAAATAAATCCCTCAAAGGAAATTAAGCCCTTAGAAAGACACATTAATACATTTGATGAACTAGAGCAATTATTTAGTGTATCTCTAAACAAAAATTATAAATTTAACTTGTTATTCCTGTGAAATAATATATATTATATATACCCAGATCTATTGTGGGATAGGAGAGAAAGACAAAAAGAGAAAAATATGAGTAGATATAAGGGAAATCACATGTGTGGTATGCGGATGTGAGTGGGTGGGAAGAAAGAGGTACACATAGAGAGAGAAGTGAAGGAGCTAGAGGGACAGAGGGCAGAACAGAGAGGGAAAGTTGAGAGTGGACAGCAAAAAAGGAAGATGCAGGGAAGCAGATGGGGGGCTGAGGGATTTCCAAGAGGCAACTAGAGAGTAGAGAGAGGCAGAAAGACAGACATCAAGTTGGAAAACAAGGCAGCAGTACATACACTAGAATTATGAAATGTCCAACCCTCTTCTCCACTCTTCCTGGATCTTCCACTCCTTTTCCTACTTATACCAAAGACTTATCCTTGATAATGAGTAAATTAGTGTTAACATTACACTGGAAATGGATATTCAGGATATTGTATACATACAAACACACACATAAAATATAACCAACTTTATCTAATGACTGCTTTAGATTATTATATCTAAGTAAATTGGACTTGTAGCACTTCTCCTCGTACCCTAAGTATCAAGAATATAAATCTTGACTCCCTTAGTCAGCAATATGCAAGTTTCATTTTTCTTCCCATTAAGAACACTATAATAAGAGATTTTCTTCCAAAATCAGTTTAAAGAGGGACTAGAAGACACAATTACTTGTTATGTCTAATTTTAATAGAATACACACTAAATACTGTTTCCCTCATGCATCCTCCACTTCCTCCCATCAATAATTTAAAAAATAAGTAGGTTTTTTCTTTCACAGTTTTCCCTTGGTGAACTAGCTATCAGCAATAGAGAGCTCCAACCCCCTGATCCCTTAATAAAAACAAAAGCGTCAACAAGCAGTCTTTACTTCTTCTATATACATCCAGTGAACAATAAATCATTCACTTGCCATCAACTGCTTTTTGACATGGATGGAATATGCAGCAGTCTTCCAAGGAAAAAAATCAGGCCCTAAACTATAAACTGTCCTGATCCTTTCGTATCACTCAATTTCTCAACAAGTATATAAATATGGAGAAGGTTATGTGTGTGAGTCTGTGTCTGTGTATCAGGTGGTGGGAACGTTAAACACAGACGATGGAGGGACCACACACAGGAACACCTCTAGGAGAAGTACAACTGAGCAAAATGACAGAACATTTTAATTGCTTTTTATTAGCAATTACATATTCAAAATAAGTAAAGGATGAAAGTGATATAAAGATCTTACTTATGATTTATACCTTGCCTCCTGGTCATTTCCACTGACCCAAACCCTATCAAGAGGCTTCGTAGTTAAGAAAATAAGATAATTTAGTTCCATCTAAATCTATCCCACTGGCATAAATAGTAAGTTTTTAAACCAGCAATAAAATGGCTACTCACAAACTGATGAATAATTAGGATTATGTGGTATTACAGTATCACCTGTGTACCAAGTTCCAGCAGAATGAAATACTATAGTTTATACAACTATAATTCTATCTCACTGCCTTCTGCAACAGCTGCTGATTCAAACTCTCAGCTGAAATGCCATACTTAATCAGGATTTCAGCAAGAAAAGGACCAATGTTCTTTAATAATGTTCAAAGCATTAATTACTGTTTTTAAAAAATGGTTACTAACCTTGCTGAAGAGGCTGAGTGTTTGTACTGGGATTCTGACTAACGGGCTGGGTTGAGCTACTGGCTGTTGTGGCAGTAACAAGTCGGACATAATGAAACTTGCTTCCAGGCACTTGAATCTGCTGGACATTGGGAGCAGTTGCCAGAGGAATAATTGTCTTAAATTGTGATGTGCTCACGCCTCCAACAGTGATAGTCTGCACAGCCGATTTCACTGCCTATTAAACAATACAACACGGCTATCATTAATCTGGGATTTAACTTTCCTACTCCTTTTAACGTACAACAATTGCTCAAGTAAAAAAGCATGTTCCTGTATTTCATCAAAAACTGTTGAAAGGAACAACCTGTTCAAAGAAAAATGAAAAGAACAGTAATGAATACAGGAGTAAAACCAAAATTAATGAGTTCTACCTTCCATCTCTAGCAGTTAACTTCCTTGATAGTCCAGGTCAGATGACTTGCTATGAAGAAATTATTACTTAAATCAAAGAACTTACACAGTTTTGGTAATATCAGGTAAAATTTATACGAAAAGGAATATTTTAAACTCCCAGAATTAAGCCTCACGTTCAACATAGAGAAAAGAATATGCAGATATTTGGTTTTCTTGCTATCCACCAAATTAACTATGATAAATTTCATTTTCACATGTTCTAAAGAAGAAAGAAACCCAAAAGAAAAGCCCATCTTTAAAAAGAAAAGAAAAGCTCATCCTATACCCTCAGTAAGTCTAGTCAATTCTAAAAGGCGTATATACTCCACAGATACAAACGTACCCACTAACATTTGGGTAGGAGGCCAAATTCATTCCAAATTACCCCAATTTTGGTTGTCTAGAGAAACTAGTTTGGGGTAATTCAGATCTGAGTCAATATAATCATTTTAATCGTTTTTAATCCTTTCCTTCAGTCCTACAAAAAGCAATGTGACTTCTCAAAAAGCTAAATAAAACATCAGAGGTAGAATGGAACAAAAGTCTTTTAAGGTGTCTGCAATTCATGTTTAATCAATGTACAACAGACTATCATTCAAAGCAAAGATTCTCTAACTAGTTCTATAGTATTATTTTATAAAGAATTACATCCCCACCTATTCATTCAGAAGCCCTCATGCTAAAAGACAACTGACATGATGGAAGAAATCTATATTCATTATGTGGATAGTAATTTATGAAAGAATAATTCTAAAGAATTTGAACATTTTCATAAAAGCTCAGAAAAAAAAAGGAAAAATGTCATTTTGTTTGGAAACTCTACAAGAAAGAGTCAAAGGAGATCGCCTGGTGCAAGAGACACAGTCCTTGCTAGAGCAGCTCAAGATGGAAAAAAAAAAACTATCTTAAGAAACAAAGTGCCCCAAACATAATAGTTAAGTTTATTGGTACTTAATACGCATGGAGGACAATGCTTTTAAAAATGGTAAGATGATGTGATCTAAATCTAGCAGCCACATTATGAGCTAGCTAAAGCATGGACCAAGTACAGGGGCTGCTTTAGTTCAATTTGCACAATGTATCTTTTTCCAACTCATTACTTTCAACCTTTCTGTATCCTAAACTTCAAACTACAACTCTTACAAGCTGTATACAATTGGGTCTTTTAAAAAAAATCAGATCTGACTGTATTTTTTTTTTTAATTTTATTTATTTATTTATTTTCCCCCCAAAGCCCCAGTAGATAGTTGTATGTCATAGTTGCACATTCTTCTAGTTGCTGTATGTGGGACACGGCCTCGGCATGGCTGGAAAAGCAGTGCGTCCGTGCACGCCCAGGATCCGAACCCGGGCCACCAGCATCGGAGCGCACACACTTAACCGCTAAGCCACGGGGCCGACCCTGATCTGACTGTATTTTTTATCGCTATTGTCTGTTTACATCTAACATAGTTAACTAAATATTCAGATTTAAACCTACCATTGTACTATTTCCTATATGAAACACCCATTCTCTTCTGCTCCTTTTTCTCTCCTCTTTTTTCTTCTTTCGGGTTAAATATTTTATTATTTCATTTCTCCCCTGTATTAGCTTGTTCTTTATACATTAAATTACTATTCTTTTAGTGGTTACCTTAGAGATTACAATTACAATGTAGGATTTAAATTCGTACTTTCACATCACTCAGACAATGAGAGAACCATAGAACACTAATACCATCTACTCTTGCCCCATCTTTGTGCTATTGTTAAGTATTTTAATTCTACATATAATTTAAACTCCATAAGACATTCATTTAGATATACTAACAAATTTACCCTTTCTGAATGTCCTACATCTCTGTGCTTCCAGTTGGGATCATTTTCCTTCTGCCTAAAAAAACTCACTTTAGGATTTTCTTAAGTGTGGGTCTGCTGATGAGAAAGTCTCTCCATCCTGTTTCCCAAAAAATGTCCAATCTTTTCTTTATCTGTATCTAATTTGCTGATAAACTCATCTACTGAATTCTTAATCTCAGTTTTAAGTTTTTAGTTTGAAAATATTCATTTGATTCCTTTTTATAGTTTCCTGTTCTCTGGTGAAATTCTTCATTTTCTTAAATAAATATCCTAAATATTTTAATCTCAGTTATTTTAAAAATCTGAGTCTGATAACTCCACTTCCTGCTACATCTCTTGGTTTTGAATAATTTGCTCTGGTTGCCTGGTATACCTGATGATTTCTGACTAAATGCCAGACCCTGTTTATGAAAAATTAAGGAGATCATTTGAGGCTCTGACTGATGCTATACTCCTCCAGAGAGAACTCACTTTGGCTTCCAGCAGGCAGTCAAGAGGAGCGGCAGACTATCCTAAATCAACCGTGAGCTGAGCTTATTTGAAGCGCAGCTTCAACCTTTGGGAGGCCTTGTCCACCTCTGGTTCACTCTTCCCCCATCTAGTATGCTAGTGGCCCCAACCAGGACTTGGGTGTTTACCAGAGCTCCTCCTCCTCCTTGCTAGGGCCTGAACCCAAATTTTTGCCCATGAGACCTATAAGAGTGACAGATCTGCTCAGCACCTCAATCTTTCTGTGGCCATTCTCTTCTCATCTTCTCAGTCACAACTCACAAATCAGCAAATGCCCTAAGGGGAAGTGTCACAGTGAAGACCAGGCTGACTTCTCCAGGCTTCCCTTTACTTCAGGATGGTGGCCTCTGAAGTCCTGGCTCCCTTGGTAGGTCTCCAATGCCTTCGAACAGATTTTTAAAATATTTTTTATTCTTCTTTTTACCTGTTCTTGGTGGAAGGGTTGTTCTGCAACAAGCTAGTTCTATATAGCCGAAAACAGAAAATATAGACTGCCTAGGTTTTAATCTAGGCTCCAACATTTCCTTGTTGTGCAAGTAACTAAACTTCTCTGTGCCTAAGTTTCTCCATCTAAAAATATGAAAATGGTACCTTTCGCACAGGATTGTTGTGAGGATTAAATGAGTTACATTATATAAAGTGAAAATAATAACTCATCACATATTACAGTGCTCAATAAATGTAAGCTGCCATTTGTATCATCATCATTATGCCCATTATAGAGAGATACTGAGAGAAACTGAAGCTCAGAAAGATTAAGTAACTTCCCAAAGGTCACACAGAAAAAGTAGCAAAGCCAGGATTTGAACCAGATCAAACTTCAAAGCCCATCCTCTTAACCCAGCCATTATAATGCCTCCTACCATAGATGCTTAATGAACAGTTACTAACTAATTGAATAAAAGTAAGTAGCATCCAGTTGTCGAGAACTCTGTTAAGAACTAACGTTGCGGGGCTGGCCCCGTGGCTTAGCGGTTGAGTGCGTACGCTCCACTGCTGGCGGCCCGGGTTCGGATCCTGGGCGCGCACCGACGCACTGCTTCTCCGGCCATGCTGAGGCCACGTCCCACATACAACAACTAGAAGGATGTGCAGCTATGACATACAACTATCTACTGAGGCTTTGCAGGGAAAAAAATAAATAAATAAAATTTAAAAAATTTAAAAAAAAAAAAAAGAACTAACGTTGCACATCTGCCTCTAAGAAACATGAAAGTATTTTTTAATCAGTTTGTATACTGAATAGAAGTAAAAGCAGTGTTTTTAAAAAATTTTTAAAGATATTTTATTCAGATTTCACCAGTTTCTGTAAACACTTTTTATTGATGTATACTAAAGACCATAGATTCACGGAATCAACATCACCATCAAGATGCAAAATTGTTTCATCACCGCAAAGAAACTCTCTTGTACTATCCTTCATATTCACACTCTCCGCCAACACCAACTCTTGGTAACCACTGATTAAACTGCATTGTTTTAACACCTAAAATTAAGTAACATATAAAAGTTACCACTTTTGCAAAAGACAAAAAACATTTAAATATACTTAATTGCTTTGGTCCCTTTCCTGAAGTACAGTGGCGTGAGAAACTCCATTTGAATGTCTCTCTGAACTTACTACATTGCCAGAAAAACAGTTCATGTGCATTCAACAAAAATCTTCAGTTATCGCTATTTCCTGATTAACATCCTTGACAACTTGGGTTAAAAAGCAAAAATCTTAATTTAAATTCAAAATAGCTACATTTAACATGTATTAGCGGCTGCCCTAAAAAACATGGACTTGAAAGATTTTTATTTGTACTATTTCCTAAGCCCTTTCTATTTACAGGTTAATATAATTTCTTTGATTGTTATTCTCCAATTAGCAAATGCCAAAGTCCTTGCTTAATTGAAGATTTACCTAAAAGAAAAGGAAGAATAAAGCACTCTTCTTGTACTGCAAATGAGGATTCTTATTTTACTTGGTGAAGTTGGAGACAGACAGATGGATAGATGGCTCAACCAATATTCAAAGACACTGAGTTTGTAGGGTTCCATATTAATGTGCTTTTTTTTTTTTTTCTCTTTACAATTAGCAATTTGGTTCTCTTTGTAAACAGGGCTTAGAAATCATTGTTTGGACACATGGGCTTTGGTTCTAGTTTGTCTCGGTTTTGTGTGTATTCCGACAAGCAACCTAATGTTTCTTTATACCTTTGTTTCTCTATTTGCACAGGCAACAACATTACCACTAAATGAAATCTGTATAGCACTTTGGGACACCTGTACAAATAGCGCTGTTTCAAACAGATATTAAGATAGTATTTGTTTAATCTACTGCAAAATCAGAGTAATACTTTCCTTAATGCTGATTGGGTAGTGTTTACCAAAATGCGTTTGTTTCATTAAACATTAGCTCTTCAGGATTAGATGTTACATGAAATGGCC